CGGAAGTTTGCTGAAATATTGCCGGAGTGTTCTGAACATCACCAGAAGTCGTTGAAATGTCCAGAATGTTCATTGGACGTCAAGAAAATCATCGAATATTCACTGAAATGTCCAGAATATTGCCGGAAAAAAAAACAAAGAATAAATGGAGAAATTGTAGTGAAAAAAATAACAAAATGTACTAAATATTAATAACTTGAAAGAAAAAATAAATAATAAGACAAACAACAACAATTGGAAAAATATATATTATTTTTTAACTTTTGTAGGGTTTAAATAAATAATCTCCAATATTGATTAAACCGAAAAGTAAGTTTTGAAACTGTAAAATGTTACAGCTTCAAAGCATGATTCTATTAAGCATTTATTCTTAATTAATCAAACTGAAAAATATATTATGAAACTTCAAAATTTTACAGTTGTAAAGAATATTATGAAATTGTAAAATTTTACAATTTTAAAGCATGACTTATTTCAGTACCAAAAAAAATTGAAACTGTAAAACTTTACAGTGTTCACCACCTGTAACTAAAACTCGAAAACAATTAGTTTAGAATTTGAAAATTTTCTCTATTAAAACAGGAAAATAGAAGTAAATAGCAAAGAAAATGTAGAAAAATTGAGAGATCGAAAGAGAGAAACAGATATATAGAGAAGATTGTACTCTGACAACTATTTTTAGTTTAGATCTAGTCTGTTCTCATACAGATTCGTCGAAAATTTGTCTCCTTTGCCATTGGTGAGGGTGAAGTAAGAAATCGGTGGTTAGTGATTACTGATGATTATGTGCTAGAAAGAGAAAGAAAAAGAGAGGAAGTAAGGTGTGATTGCTAGTTGCTGGAAAGGAAGAGAAAGAGACAAAGACAGAGACAAAGAAAAACAAATGCACAAAAAAAAATGAAGAAGAAAAATACACCGTGAACTTTTAAGAGTATCCAAATAATTGTGGGACTAAATAATCTTTCGCCTATTTTAAATAGGATTTCTAAGTAATTTGCCTATAAATTAATTTTCACCATACAAAAATCAATTCTAGATAAATTCTACGACTATAAATCTAATTTCCTAACTTTTTCCAAAAACAAATAAATGAAAGGTTGAATCCAACCAATTGATCAAATGGTCAACTCAAGAACCCGATCCAACTAATAAATCCGGCTATTTACTCCCGGGTCAGAAATCCGGGTCACGTATTAGATTTCGAGAGACCGAGGAGGCAAAACCCTAGTCTGTCACTGCCCTAAGAAAAGAAGAGAGCTTTTTTGTGGGTTGAGAAGAAGCAACAAAAATGGAGGGTGGAGACGAAGGAATCGAGAGAGTAGTGGACTCGAAGGACTTGCAGCAGCAGAGCAAAGCCCTCGACAAGCTCACCGACCATGTCGAAGATCGTCAGCTCGATTCCACTCGCGTTCAAGAGGTACAATTTTACTATATTTTCGTACACACACACACACACATGCATATATATATATACGTAAATATACATTTGTATTACGAGAATTGATTTCAGTGAAATTGTTATGATTGTGGTGATGTGTTGATAGGCTATGGCGTCGATTGGTGCAGCAAAGGAAGCTGATTTGAATGCTATGAGATTGAGGTCCGTATGTTTCTGACTTTTTTATTGATAAATGAAACCAAAAACAAACAATTGAAGTTTGATTTGTGTGAGATTGAGTCAATTCAATTACAATCAACAATGGAGTGTCTCAAATAGTGATTCTTAATGGCATCTCTAATCTTGACTCAAATCTCTACCGAATTTAAATTTGAGTAAAAATCACTCAAAACAACTCCGCACCTCGTCCCAAACTTATATCAATTTGAGTTTTACTCAAATTTTTACCCTAAAAGGCTATTTTGTGGCTCGCAAATTTATGTTTAAATTTGAGTTTTCCCATTGGGGTGATTCATATTGAATAAAGCTGTTAATTATAATTTGTACTCAAATTGGAGTAAAATTTTGAGTGAGGACTGGAGAGCTGCCATCTTTTGGAATTGAATACTAATGGCATTCTTGTGTAATCTTCTGATGTTAATGATCTAACATGAAATTTGGCAAGCGCTTAAGGGAATCAGATAGACACTGCAATAGGAAAAGCACGAAATGGTTATGGACAAACATGGTGAATGTAGGAATGTCAACTTAAAATTGTCTTTTTGATGGATCATTGAGTAATAAAATAAAGCCAGACAATTCAGTGAATGTGCTGCAATTACCGTATAACTTGTTGTCAGGATTAAACAAGGTGCTCACATCGCCATTGTCCTTGAGGCCACTCCTTGTTTCCAGTAAACATGTAAGTAGGGTCTGTATGTAAATTGCTATCTGACTCAACATGTATGCCTTATTTTAACGTAGCCATTCCAATATGTTTAGACAAGCATTGGTTTGGGTAGAAAATATGTGAAAAAGATGCCTTGGTGGATTAAAAGGGGCGTAGCCAGTGCACGAAGCTCCCGCTTAAGTGGGGTCTGGAGAAGGATTGATGTACGCAGCCTTGGTGGATTGCAAACTAAAAAACTTCCTCATTAAAAAACTTTGATATGAAGTTACAAACCCTTCATTTGTTTCTTCTTTTTACTTATTTGGGTTTTCAAACTCTTTCAAAGTTTCATGATAAATTGGGTTGTTTCTATTGCAAATTATAGGGGCTTGGAGCCAATGGTATGAAAGATATGAAATTATTGATGCAAATTTTTCCTTGACATTATTAGTTGTAAATTTATGATGAAGTGAGGACATGGAGCCGTCGCCAACATGGCAGGCAATGGAGTTTCCTTAATCTAACATTTTTTTAGCATATTGTACTCTAGATTAATTTCATTTATGATAGTTAAAGGTGCTTTTAGATTCCAAAGGAATTTAAATGAAACAATGCTACGATCATCGAAAAACTTGATCATTGAAATCACCGACCCCTCACATTTGTTCGCATCTATAGATGCAAACATGCAAACAAGATGTTTGCATCTATAGCTGTGAACAATTGTGAGGGTTAGTGATTTTGTTACACTTTTTTTCAGTGTCCGTGTCTTTTTCCAATTTAAATAGATTTGTTGTGTTTTAAAATAACATTTGAAGTTTAAATTCCATCATCATGCATAAGGTCATTGAAAAATTATGGTGATACTTTCACAAATAGTGGTATTAAACAATTTTAAGTTCCTTAATGACACTTAAGTTTTTTATCATCATTTGTGGGACACTGCCATTACATTCAATCACCTATGTCTTGATTATAAGTTTTGACACTCAAATGCTATGTGAATTACAATGAAGCTCTTCAGTTCCTAAGAAATGTCTTGCACTCTATTTGAATCAATTTATGATAATAGAGATGTTAGGATTCTTAGAATAAGTTTTTATACAAGATTATGTGGTTAATTAACTTGATTCCATATTGACACAATCAACAAATGCTAGCCACATCTAAATATAGTTGTGGCTTATGTTTGGTCTGGTCAAATAACAAAAACATATGATATCATATGATAAAATTATGGTGAACCTAAGATTAGCTTATCAAGGCTTTGCTGCAACATTTCAGATAAAATTTTATGTCGTTCTCACTCACCAATCTTACTAATATTCATAAAAAGTAGATTAGAAAATAATCAACAATAATATTTGTTATTGAGGTTAGCATTTTTCTCTGATCATATTTTTTTATTTATAAAATCGTATGATGCCTTTGTATTATGCCCTAGGTAATGTTGGATGAATGAAGATTTTGTTTTTATTTTTGCAAAGTTGAAATATCTTTATCCCCCAAGTCCTCACTCCAGTGTACAAGATTTTATTCATTGCCTTTCTCTAAAGATGGATTGTGTGACATTTTGGTTCATATAGAAGTGTCCCAGAATTCCAGGCTTTATTATTGTATTAGCTTTAGTAATGCAGTTCACCATATTTGAACTAATATTCAGCACTGAATCGAATTGGTGGTCGCTGATGTTTGATAATCTTAAAAGGGATTGTAACCATGAAAATTCTAGGAAAAAACATATTAATGGAGTGCTGCCTATTGCAAGTCAGTCTGTCTTAAACAAGCATGGTAACGGTGTCTGCTTCATTGCAGGGAGAAAGAATTGGCTGCAGTTAAGATCAATGCAGCTGATGTTGACATAATTGCAAATGAACTAGAGGTTAGGTGGTGCTTTTTTAATATGTTACCATTCATTTCTGCCCATTATTTTGGTTTATTGGAATACAAACATGACTCTCAAAGTTGGAGAGAAACCCACACATAGGTGGGAGGAGTTGAGCCCTTGACCTCCTCGTGAAGTGCGAGGGCTCTGGCTAACTGGCTAGCCCTGTCGTTTACAAGTAATTTATGTCCAGGGCTTTTAATATGTTTTTCTTTTTGTTTGAACCTTGGGAACAGCTGGACAAGAAGGTGGCTGAAAGAACTTTACGGGAGCACAAAGGTGATGCTGTTGCTGCCATTCGATCCTTGCTTCACTAGAAGGCCTTTCAACCCTTTCGCTTAGCTTCTTTTTTTTTTTTTTCCCCCTTCATTAATGCCAGTGGGCTGGTGAAAAGATGGCATCTGTGTGACGTAACCAAACTTTTTTGTTCTGCCTAGATATATGAATTGAATTGGATCAGGTTGTTACCTTTACAGGAAGATTGAAAAAAAAAATCAAATGAAAAAACTTGACTAGGAATACTAGTGTACTGTTAAAGTGCCACAGTTCTGTTTACTAGCTATTGCTTTGTTTGTTTTGAAACTAATTATCAAAATGTCATTAAATTTGGCAAGCGTCATATGTATAAAGGTGGCCGTTGGGTTATTGATAATGTTAATGCTACGATCATGAAAGGTTTGCACAAACTTAGGGTGTACCAGTTGGACTTGAGGGTCTCAGATACAACTCACTACAAGCGTATTGAGGAAATTCATGTTGTATGCAAATATGCAAATGTATGCTATAATATAGAGGAAAAAAAATTAAATAAATTAAATTAAATTAAATTAAGCACGACACCAACCAAATTGAGAAAATGTTTCAAAAAATTTTACAGCACAATATGGCAAATGGTGTGGTGTATGTACAAATGTTCTTCCCTGTTCTCAACTCATAGTTCTCCTAAAGAGCACAAATGAATAACAAAATGGTCTCAATGGCATGAAATACCACTGAGGTGAATGACAAATTATCTCTATAACATGAACTAACAACACCAACAGAACTAGACACAATTCAACTACCAGCCAGCAACACAAGTCAAACTCGAGCCCCAGCATCCTACAATTCCTTTTGCCTATCTCCTGCAGCAGAACGGGTGGCCTGAATTTGAACGGCGTAGTGTTTCTGCAGATCCTTTAGCTTTTCCATCAATTCATGGAATGACGGTCGCAACTGTGGCTCGCTGGTTTTTTTAATTAAGTTGTTAGTCAGCAATAATGACAGGTTTCATTCATGATTAAAAATGTTCTATGTTTATGAAAGAGGCAGAACGAAAAAACAGACCACTGGATGTAACTCATGTCCCTATATTAATGCTTATAACAATACCTTGGCCATGAGTCATGAGGCAGAACGAAAACACAGACCACTGACCGTGCCACACAATCCCAACCTAACCTTAGCACAATTACAGAATTTTATAATATCAAATTCAAGTATCTCGACAGCAAGAGTCGACCAAACCATCTGACAGAAGTCATCTACACCTTTTTGAGTTCACATGAGACGAAAGCCAAGTCCCAACTAATACAAATGGGATAGACAAAACTAAAAAAAAGTTTGTGGAAATCGGAATGTGTGACGAAAAGTGTTGAGGAGCGCAGGAGAGAGACGTCGAGATATTCGACTGGCCACACAATCATCCCAGATAACACTTGCATCCTTTGTACCGTGGCTACTGGCATAGAGTTAGCCAATGTTTGTTCCCCCAGATCAACCCAATTCGCATCATTATGCTCAATAAAAGGAATGGGGAAGCTAAAATCTAAAATAATGGAAGGAATGGAAAAATGCTTCGAAGACCATTCTCTTTTGGCCATATTTTATATTTCATATATGCTTGTTTGCACGTATGCATGCATCTTCATGATGGTTGTAGAGCCTATCAAGGTAATTCTCCCTTCTATTGAGAGTGATGTAAAGAAGACGGAGCGGGTAGAAATAAAACAAACCTGTGCCAACAGCTCTCAATTATAGAGGTCCATTGTGGATCCACGTCTTTGGGGATCTCTAATTGTTGGTTCATGAACCCTACAGCTCCAATCACCTACAAGTTTCCTAAACAGATTGCTGTTAGATGTCTGTTGCATAGATGTTTTTTTTTTTTATTTTAAAGATGGAATCACCTGAAAGAACCCACACCACCCCTTCAGACACAATGTCAACATAAATGTTCAAAATGAGAACAATACCTGCATCGCATTGAGATTATCCCAAGGGATCTTCTCAGTGGCTAGTTCCCATAATATCACTCCATAGCTGTATATATCAGACCTACAAGATTTCAAGACAAAGAAATGTTTACAATTCACAGATTTGTGTGCATCTTGTTTTTGGGGTGAGATGAATTAAAAGAATCAATGCCCTTAAATTAGACATACTTTTCGTCTGAGGGTTCATTACGAAGAACCTCTGGTGCCATCCATTGAGGCTGCAAAAGAGGATTAACTATGTTATGCATTGTCACGACCCAACCCCAGGTGCTTAGGGTTGGATTCGCAACTAGTTAATTCATTCTAATTTTAACAAATTAAGTGTCGTAGGCGGAGACAAGATAAAGTAGTAAAGAAATTAAATAGGGCAATAAATAATTGAAATACTCAATAATTTAAAAAAAAAAAAAAAACATTCCTTAGGACTTTTATTTATTTTATTGATGGTCAGACAATTATAAAAACAAAAAAAAACAAAGAGTCCGCGTTAAGTCCTGTGCTAGTCCCATTACACGAGGTTACCACTTTTCTTTACATATCATCACCTGAAAGGGGACAACCGCTATAAGCACATAGCAGAGTGAGAAATATTATATCAAGAGTATAGGGCACAAAATTGTCATGGATGATTATTTAGGCTAAAACATGGTACATTATTTAATTGGAGTTAATCAATAATTTAAATAGCAGAAATGAATTTTAGAATATAAATAGAATAGTCATAACCACGGTACAGAAAGAAAATCAAAACAGAGATTAATGGATCCATGACAAATAGAAGGCCACAAAGTGACCATTTTGGTGGTTCTCACAAAAATAAATGTTTATATACTCGTTATCCAATAATTTCTAAAATTTAAACAATCATATCCATGGATTTTAATTTAAGCAAATAGGGTTCATAAAATAATTAACGTAATTGAAACATTAATATAATTTATAAAACATGAATTGCATAAAATAATTTGTGGTAACTTAAGATGTACATAAAATATTTTACAGTGACTCAAGGTACAATATTACTCACCTTAATATTAATCTCTTACTTTTACTTCTTACTTCTCCGTTCACCGAAACTCCCTCCTTTACTGACTAACCACACTTTCTTTTGTTCCTCTTCCTTGCGCCATGCACCTATTTATACCAGCACCTGGTTCATTTCATTTAGGCAAGGTAACCACGTGGCTACTCCCTTAATTGCCTTCCCAAGCTCATCCCCTTGAGGCTTATCCTTATCACTTAATTTTTTAAATTTTTTTATTTTTTATATAAACAAAGTGACTGCTAACTTAAATTAAATTACATTTTAACACATATAACTATTAAATTAAATATATTTATTATTAAGTATATATGTTTTGTTGATATTAACGCGGTGCTAAAATTAATTAAACATTTGGAGTGTCACATGCATAAACTAAGAACTAGATCTATGCTGCCTTGAACAAGAAAATTGAAATGAGATCAGACTAATGTAATTGTTACGAGTGCCAGTTAGCATACCGTTCCTTTCCCTGTTTTTGTAGTAAGGTATGTTTCATGTTTGAGCCGCGACAGACCAAAATCACCAACCTATTCAGAGAATACTATCAAGAACATTTACTTTTGGAGTAAGAATACTACATATATATTGAAAAAAAACACCAAAACCAAGGAGGTCAGGAGAGGCATACCTTCACAGTCCAGTTCTTATCGACTAGTAGGTTTGAAGACTTCAAATCACGATGAATAATGGGTGGCGAGAAATGATGAAGATAATTCATGCCTCGTGCCTGTTAAAGGGTTGCCAGTGAAATTATGCATAACGAATAATTGCTAGAGAGAAGTAACCTACTCTACAAGAAAACAATTTTTACCATAACCTATGTTACATAGACTTAGGTACAGGTGTCAGTATGCGTCTAGGTGTTGGTTCATAATCCTCACGTCCACGGACAAGGGAACATGGCAGAATAATCATTAATATTTCTTAATAGACTTCTTTTATTTTCTAGGGTAATTGGTGTTCACTAGGTGTCATAAAGCATTGTATTGTTCGCACATAATATGGGGGTTTTAGGCATAGTTTTACAGTTACCTCGAATTATTAAATATGCTTGCTAGGTAAATGTCCAATATATGTGTTTGACACATATCTCATACTCTTACCCTTACCCAAGTGTCTAGTTTTTGACAAGGGTACTTCATGCATTTAAAATAGTCAATGCATGGAACATAAACCTGACTTGCCAAAGCACTATGTCAGTGTACTAAGAAGGCTGGATAACATACTCAGAAGGAGATACGGAAAATTTTAAGCAACAATGAGAAAACAAAAGCTGACTAAGATGTGGGGTAACTGAACTAGACAAGAATAGCGATCTGGTTAGGGCAATGGAATTTTCCCAATGCAAAGTGGACATCATGATACTCACTATATCCAAAGCCATGTGAACACGTCGTCTCCAATCTAATTTGGCTGTATTCCTTTGTAATAATCGAAACAAGCTTCCACTACAAAAATAAAAATAAATAATAATAAATAGATAACAAATTACAAATCTGTCAGGCTAAAAATTACAAAATTCTGGAAGGATTCCCGAAAAGCCAAAATCAATTCCAAACAAAAAAGCGTGGCACAATACGCAAAAATTGTGACTCAATTGCTTGAAAATATGAACTTCTCAAAAGGGAAGTAAAGAATGAACCGTGGTAGGAACTCTGTAACAATACAGAGACGCTGAGGTAAAGTTACTGCACCCATAAAGAGTAGAACATTCGGATGTCTAAGCCTTTTCATGAGAGATACCTTCATACACAAAAATCAAACTCTGATGTCAGCATAGATTCCACCATTTAATGAATACTAGAAAAAACAAATTTCCATAAAAGTTGTCTAAATCAGCTGCATACAAACAAAAATTGATGTCAGCATATATTCTACCAGCTAATAATACTCGTAAAAAACAAATTTCCATATTTGTTGTCTAAATCAGCTACATACAGACAAAGATTGAAAAGATAACAATAAATAAATAATAAAGGATTGAACTTCCTACCCCACTTCAATCACGAAGGTTTCTGTAATTACACAATCAAATACTAGCAAAACTACTTCCTCATCTCGTCCTTCCAACAGAATCAGTTTTTAAAGAATTCTCAAAAATTCCAGCACCATGTGGACAATAAGAATGACCACCAATATTCAAGTCGTGTTGGGTAACCTGATATCTAAGTTTATTTTTTCAATCTTAGATTTTGTGATAACTACATTCTATACGCTTGTGGTTCAAGTAAAAAATAAAAAAAGGCCACCAGTGCATGAGACTTCCAGCACTGTGGGAACTGGAGAGGGTCAGACGTAAGCAATCTTACACCAACATATGAAGAGGTTGTTTTTGTGGTTTAAACCCATGACACCCAGGTTGCAATGGAGCAACCTTACTGCTGCATCTATGGTTCCAAGTAAATTGGAGAAAAATATAAAGTGATTGACTTCTTAGGTTGAAGCCACTAGAGAACTACAGACACAAAATTATTTCCTTCTAATATCATTGAAGGGGTTGATTAATGAGGTAGTCTACTTAAAAGAGGGTGCGACTTTCAAAGGTTCAAATTTGAACCCCATTCTACAACGCTAAAGACAGCCAACTAGATAAGCTAATTCTTTTTATTCAAAAGATCCTCCTATATTGTTTTCTCACTTACTAGCCACAATACATCATCATGGTAACTGTTCCGAAATCCTGTTTTAACTATTTCAATCATCACTACAAAGTCGGGTAATCTAACAATCTCCATCTTGATCATTGTCTTCCCATCATTTACTATTCCATTGTGTGTGGCTGTCAGTGTTCTGAATGCACACATGCAATTGCATGTTTGGGGAAGGGAAGGGAAGGAAATTAAGTTTCACGGAAACAAGAAGATAACTTAAAGGTAGCAATGAGGTCAACTAACAAGTCCAAGAACATTCTTGCATCGTGACCTAAAAGTCTTCCCATGGTCACGATTACTACATTTGCTTTCTTGAATAGTTCATTCTCGTAGCATTCACGAAATTCATTCAACTTCCTATGACAGTTTCCTTTCTTGTCATATATTATTTTTATTTTACTTTTTCAATAAATTTTCTCGTCGTAAATTATTAATGGCCAAAACTAAAGAAAAAGAATCACAATACGACATTGTAGCTCAAACTGCATTTGGCATTCAGGTACCAAGAACATAATAGCCTAATTTTATCACATGTCGAGAATTAATCAGAATCAAGAAGTTTACAATTCAAATTCTATCTACTTGAATTACATAAGAAAGTTCTGAATGATGCATTAACTAGTTAAACACATACCTCTTGTCTGAAGGAAAATATCACATCATCTGAATATTCTTGCTTCGAGAAAACCTTGACAGCAACATCCTGCAAAACATTGACCTAATAATTATTTTTCTTTTTCTTTAAATGAGTAAAAACATGACATAATGCAATCAAACAATGATATGAACATCAAGATAATTCCAAGGGTCCATTTATTCTTAATGCGATTAAAGTGATAACCAAAGCCACATATCTCATGTCAGTCAGAGAATGTAAGATAGTTTGTATGTTTTCATTGTATTTTTATTTAATTCAATTTAATTTGATAACAGTAAAGATAATTGAAGATGTGGTTAGCCCAAGTTTCCCTCGACAGTGCAAGCACACAGGTGAGTTTTTCCACGGTGTGCACTGTTTACAAATTAAAGTTCATATTTTGATCAATGAATTTTTGACATTATATCTCCTCTAACTTAATTACTTTCATGCACTATATTGGAAAAAAACAGTTTATCAAAAGCAAGATCGAAAAAGGAACCAAAGAACATACCGATCCAAACCACAGAGCATGATATACAGTTCCACAAGAACCTGTGCACAGAAGAAGAAGAGAAGAAAAAAAATAATCAGCATGATAAAATATGACAACATAAACATCATAAACCTAAAATAAATGGAATTCTAGACAAAAAGAAACAGGAAAGGAAAAAATTTGAAAAGTTTTGTAAGGAAGCGCAAATTTGGGGGTTACTGAGAAAAGATCATGAGATGTGCAATTAAGGGGTTGTTTGGGGTGTCCTAAATAAGTGCACTTTTTGACTTTTTGGACCAAAAAGTTGAGGAAAAAAATATGGTTCTTTGGGTTAACATTTTGATTTTCTATGGAAAAATGTGTATTAAAAAATTGTATGAATTAGTATGTAGGAAAAGATTAGAGTGTGAGTTGTACGGCTGTCATGTCTGCAAAGGTGGAATAGATGCTAAGAAATAATTGACTACTTTTTGGGCATTGTACTAGACGGTGTTGTTCGGCTCGTGGAGGTCATCACGGGTCCTGTTTTGATAATCTGAACCGTTCAATGTGTAGAACTCGTCGAGTACTCTATGCCTGTAAAAAATTACGTTGATCGGATATCGATAGTTATTTGATCATATTTGTTTTTTTCCAACCGTTAATAATAAATCTCTTTATTTTTTTTTATATAAAACTGATTTAATCATATAGTTATCGATATCCGATTAATGTGATTTTTTATAGACATATAGTACTCGACGAGTTCTACACATTGAACGGTTCAGATTATTAAAACGGGACCCATGATGGACCTCCACAGGCCGAACAACAGTGTGTCAAAATTGCACCCCAACTGTGCAATTTTTGTTACACAACGCAGCATAGATCTGAGGCTATCAGATTGATGTGTTGTAATTGTGTATAAAATTAATTTTTAAAATTTTTTTTTTGTGAATAGTGATCGCTTTTTAACTTTTTGAGTAACTTTTTGACTTTTTATCTTTTTTGTGACATGCCAAACTTGGCCTGAGTTTATAAGCATGTTGATTCCTCCATGAAACAAACAACAATAGCAACAAACATAAGCAATAGATTTACTATTAATCCAACGTAAATACAGTTTTGTAAGTCTACAAGAATATTGACATCAATAACATGGAAGCAATTCCACTCAATGAAAGCGGGGTGAAAAATTAAATACAATCAACACATAATGATGTTAAATCGAAAGATTACCTTGCCCAATTTGCTCCCCGATTGTCAAGTCCTCCCACGAGATTTCATAATCCAAGCAATCAGTGTCCATATCAACTTTATTAACAGCACTACTATTAGTACTTCCACAGCTACTTGCGCTACTTGTGCTGTTAACATTAAATGAGGATGACCATGACCCGGAAGCCTCATTATTGGTTGGGCGAATATTCTCAGCCACTTGACTTTCTGGTTCCACACCTGAAAAAGAACTCTTCTGATGACCCAAGTCATTCTCATGATCATCGTGCAACCAAGGCCAAGCAAAACGAGTTGTCTTTGCCTCAGACCCTTCACGCTCATTTCCTTTCCACGGCCATGCTATTCCTTTCTTACCAATCCATGCCTCTGCCTTTGAGGAAATGATTTTATGGATTCTGGGTTTTCCTCCTTCACTCTCATCACCAGAATCCCTCGAGGGTTTTCCTGGGGAGTACTCGTCCGGTGAAACTTGAGAAAATACCCCAAATGGAGATTGCATTACATCTTCTCTGGGCGTGCTAGCTCCACTTGAAGTTGCATCCTCCCTATGATCGGAAAAAGCCACATCCGAGAAACCATGATCGGAATGATGACTATCTCCACTCCGACCTTCACGATCTGTGCTGTTCTCTCCAGTCCTCATTTTTGACTTAACCTTGTTGCCCACCTTGAAAGCCTGTTTTGATGCTTCTACCAATCATAAATAGGGTAAACTAAAATTTAACCATAGAGACATGAAAACTGTGACACTAACCAAATTTGATATTTTCGATGCAATTGCAACTTGGAGAGGTTGCTGAGGATCAAGGCCAAGTTTGGCTGAAGCAATGCTTTTAAAGCTTGAATCTGCCTCCGAATGTGTTTTACCCGACAATGCAGCCCTCGTGTCTTGAAAGAGGCGTGCATCACTTGATACACAAATAATCCCAATGAACGTGCCATCATCATCATGAAAGGGGGTGTTGGTTGTAACAATTAGAAACCTATCCCCCTTCTTGTTCTTAACAGGAAATTGCCCCGTCCAGCTCTCCCCCATTGCCACGCGTTGTACTATGTTATTAGCCACGTCGAAATCTTGGGCATATGTTAGGAGCTCAATGGCATCCTGACCGAGAGCTTCTGTTGCAGAATAACCATAAAGGTGTTCTGCAGCTCGATTCCTGCAAATATGCACCAAATGGGCAAATGATTGGGATTTCAATCAATTTAACAAGGCTGTTGTGCAGAAATCAAATGGTTCCAATCACAAAATCAGTAAAGAGAAACAATCAAACGCACAAAACATTAGATATACGCGGTTTGACAATGTACCTATGTTCATAGATGAGAGAGAATCAAATCCACTATGCGCAATAAATATTACATAAACCTCTCAACTCAAACCCTAGCCAAAATAAATACCTCCAACACTCCAGGCCTCAGCCTAGCGGCCTTGGCCCTCTGCCACTTCCACGGAGGGGAGAAGATCAAATTGACAACGCATTGCAGGGCTATAAACCTCTGAACTCAACCATTCTACAACATTTTCACACTCTCACACTGAAAACCCAAGCCGAAAAATACAATAAATACCTTCAACACTCCGGGCCTCGGACTAATAAAAATACAAATCCTCACAACAAAGACGAAGGCCAACATTAAATTCGACAACCAAAACAAATTGCATGATTACAAGTTTCAATGGTTCAATGTTTGTGTTTCAACAACAATCTCAATCCATAGAGACACCACCAAACTACAATTACCCAAACCCGACACAATGAAGCAAAGCAACAGAAAACTAAAAAAACAGTTAAACCCATGTGAATAGATCAAGAAAATGAGCACCAAAAATTAGCCAAAAATAGGAATGCACAATTTAATTGAGTTACTACTCACCAGTAGATTATGCGACCGTTAAGATCAAATATATGAACTGACTGACCCATGGACTGCAATATATTCATACACTGCCTATCGGTAAACTTGACTGCCGTCCGCCCACCACCGCCGCCGGCGGAGGAGGCCGCCGGGTTAAATGTGCCACCGCCACCCCCACCGCTCCTGTTCTCCCTCTGCAACGGCGACGAATGCCGAACCGACGCCGAACCCCTCTTCCTCACCGCCGCAGCACCACCATCGAACCCTCCGCCGCCGCCGCCTCCTCTCCGTCTCGGCGGCGCCGCCGACCGTTGCGGCGACACCGAGTGGGACCTCTGGTGGCCCCCACCAGCATCTCCATCAATGGGTTGTCGTTCATTTTGTGGGTCCGATTTGCGATCGCTTGAAATCATTAGTTTTGACATCTCTTGTGTGAGGTGAGCGTGGCCGACTTCGAGCTTTTCGATCTTCTTCAGAAGCTCCTCTGCTGGTGGTGGTGAATCCATTGATATGGAACCCAAATGAAGCTCCAAAAAACAACCCACAAAGTTTAACTACCCCGGAATGGATTCATAACTGTATCACTCAGTTTCTCTCTCTAAAACCAAATCTTCCTCTTTGAATTCCTGTATTGAACAAAGCTCAAGCTCACCCCTTTTTTTGCTTTTCTTTGGGCTCTCTCTCTAATTGTCTACCTTTGATTCTCTCTCTGGGATTTTGGTTTTGGATCCATAATCTCTAAAAAAAAATCTCTCCGTCTCTCTCTCTCTCTCTCAACACAAATATTCAATTACTGTATTGAACAAAGCTCAAGCTCACACCTTTTTTTCCTTTTTCTTTGGGTTTATGGGTTCTCTCTCTCTCTCTCTCTCTCTCTCTCTAATTGTCTACCTCTCATTCTCTCCCCCCCTCTCTATGTTTATGGGTTTTGTAAACATTTTTGGGTTGCGGCTGATACAGTTTTATAAATATAATTTGAGAGTATAAGATATATTGTGAGTTGTGTAATTATGATTTGAGTGTAAAAAATTTATTTAGTTATGATTTTTGAATGGAGTGTCGAATTGTATGTAAAATTGAGTTTTGAAAGTTTGATTTAATAAGTGAAATAAAAAAATTTGTTTGGTGATGAATTTTCAAAACTTAATTCAATCTATAATTAATAATTAAACATACAACTCATAACTCGATATTCATATTTTTATCAACAGTCATAATCAAATTATTTTTAAAATACTCAAATAAAAAAATGATTTTTTTTTCAATTAATTGTTTTTAAGTAATTTTTTTGAATAACTTTTTTTTCAAATAACTTCTATGTCAATTAATTTTTCTGTCAATTTATTTTTTAGGCTTGTATAAATATTAATTAATAATTAAACATATAACTCATAACTCGATATTCATATTTTTATCAACAGTCATAACCAAATTATTTTTAAAATACTCAAATAAAAAAATGATTTTTTTTTCAATTAATTGTTTTTAAGTAATTTTTTTGAATAACTTTTTTTTCAAATAACTTCTATGTCAATTAATTTTTCTGTCAATTTATTTTTTAGGCTTGTATAAATATTAAAAATATTTTAAAATTATTTAGAAGATTAAAATATTAAAAATATTCCGAAAATTAAAATATTAAGAATATTAAGAATATTCCTAAAATCAAAATATTAAAAATATTTTGAAAATCAAAATATTTACAACTAAAATATCAAAATATTAAAATTCAATTAAAAAAAATTTATTATTAACAGAAAATAACATTAATCAATTTTAAAATTGAAAATACTACAAAGGAAATAATTTGTTTTCAAAATAAATATTCAAAAATTTTAAATCATAAATATTTAAATAATTTAAATAATCTAAAAAATTTAATAAGTAAAAAATTAAAATAAATATTCAAAAAATTTAAATCTTAAAAATTTAAATAATTTAAATATTCAAAAAAATTAAATAATTTAATATTTTAAATTTAAAAACAACTATACATTCAAATCGTAACCAAACATATAAAACAAAACTCAATTAAGAAATTATTTTTAAAACACATAATCAAATACATAACTCGAAACTCCATACTACTTTCACAACTCTACACTCAAATCGTAACCAAATACATAACAAAAAAATTAAAATATTTAAAAATATTTTTATAAAATAGTGTTTGAATTTATTTTTACAAAATATTTTAAAATTTAAAAAATTAAAATCGTAATATTTTGAAATTAAAATATTTAAAAATATTCAAAAAATTAAAAAAAATCCTAACATATTTAAATATTAAAATATTTAAAATTTTAATAAAATTAAAATATTTTTTAAATATTTAAAAAATTAAAATATTAATTTAAATTGAATTTTTAAAAGAATTTTAAATTATGTGTTTAATTATAAATTTTAAAAAATAATAATTATATTTTCAATTAAATTTTAAAAAATAAATATAAAATTATAATTTAAAAATTTAAAATAAACAACACACTCAAATCAATTAATCAATTAATGAAACTATAATTTGTGAAACTTATGAAACGAAACCTTGGTTTTTTGGTTGCTTTCGTCTCTCCTTTCTCTCTCTACTGTTCTTTATCTCATCATCTGAATCTGCAATTTCGACCAGTTGTCATTTTATAGGTGGGAATTGTGATTCGATAACCAACTCGCATTAATTTAGCGCGTGTAGAGCACTGGAACATAATAGCCAATAGCGTTGCGATAACTTGACGAGTGTCGTACTTGGGACCTGTACAACGATAGGTCGGAGCGCGCGGTTTTGGTGTTTTCTGTATCGTTATTTCTTTTTATTTTAAAAGGACTGGAAGCCTATTTCCACTCCACATTCTTCTTCTGACAGTCCCGACATTTTGTCATTTCATTGTTCAATCCACAAAAATGTGGAGTGAATAACATAGGAAATGGGGTGGATACTTAAGTCTCTGTTTGGGAAGTGAGTTGGTTTTTTGACTTTTTAATTTTTTAGTTTTTTTAGTTTGAGGCTAAAAAGTCTGATTTGTAAAGGATTTTTTGACTTTTTTTTATGAGAGATGAATGTAATGATTATGGGTTGAATTTGATATTTTATTTTTTATGATTAAAATAACCTATTTTATTTTTTGTGTCTATTTTAACCCCTAACCCACCAAAACTAACTTCCCAAACGATGCCTAACTAACTCAATTACCATTTTGCCCATGACATTACCTTCGCACTAGGTTAAATTTTGCACGTGAATACTTAATTTTAAACTCAATTATTTTTGTGATGTAAGTTTATATTTTATTATAATTTAAACAGTTTTGATCTTTCTATTCCAATAATTTATCTTACTTTATTAATATTCTCTCAACTTTTTTTTAATTATAATCAAGTTAAAATAAACACAATCGGATCGCATAATTTTACCATCTCTATTCCGTTCTTTTTTGAGATTTTTGTGTTCTAGAGTTAAATAGAAACAAAAAAAAATTTAAAAATGGTTAATTATAGGGGTGTAAAGAAAAAATCAATGGAACCGATAAACCGATCCAATCCAATCTAAATTGCTAATTTTACCTAATTTTTTTAATTTCGATTCTGGTTCTGAAAATGATGAAATCGTTTAAATCAATTCGGTTCTCAATTGATATATTTGTTTATTATTTTTTAATATTTTTATATGTAAAAAATATAAAGAGTTTCTTATAAGATTTAAATACTAACCTTCATTGTGAAATTCATAAACTCTAACTAATTTCACCAAACTAATTATCGCTGACTTGTTTATTAACATAAAATATATATCATATTTATTGCTACATAAAATTTTTAGAACTATAAAATCGAATTGAACCAAACAGTTTTTTATGGTTCGGTTTTGATTTGATTCCATAGTTTAATGATTCGGTAACGGTTCTAATTTTTCTAGAATTGATTCTTACGGTTTGGTTCTTGGTTTATTCTAAAATTGGACCAATCCAATAGGTGTACACCCCTAATTAATTACATTTTGCCACTTTTATATTTAACTATTTTTTCACTTTGACCTTTAAAGTTTATTGATAGTTACGTGATATAATTTTTTTTATATAAATATAACTACATATTTGACACAACAAACTCAAAATTTAATATAATAATATATTTTTATGTCAAGTGGCAGCTAACGTGACATTTTTTTTATCTATTTTTGAATAAAAATTAACTTTAAAGTAAATTGAGAAAAACTTGAAACATGCAAGGCCAAAGTGAGAAGGAAACAAAAAAAAAAACTTCAAGGGTCAAAGTGAAAAAATTGACAAACATAAAGGGGCAAAGTTTAATTTATCCAAAAATGAAAGCAAAGAGCTAGAAAATATGATCTATTCTAATGCAAGAAAAAATGCTAATGATCACAAAATGACTAATAATTGAAAATTTAATCAAAACTTCATTATAAAAAAATAAAGTGTACCGTGTAAATTTAAAATTAATGTGTTATAGACTATATGCAAAATGAAACTTGTCCTTTCTATTTCAATTTTAGATAATTTTTTTAAATATATAGCACAACTATAAAATGATAATCTCATAAATCTCAATATCATTGTAAAAATTTACAAAATTATATAATTATACTAAAATTTTAAATATTTTAATATTATTTTAAAAAATATATAAAAATTTAAAATATTTTGATATTATTTTTACCTGAACAAAATAATAATAAGTTATTTTTAGCATGAATCATAATATAGGAATTTATATTGGTCTTCTCAAAAAATGTAATTAAAAAAAAAGAAAAGAAATAATGGATCCTTTTCTTAGTGAAGGGGGTTAACTTTAGATTTGGGCGACTTATTTTTAAATTGCCCATATGCAGATTGGACTGACTTAGAGTTCACCTAATTAATCAAATTTATTATTATTATTTTTTTTTGCCCATCACTGTCCCTTTGTCAATATTTTATGTTCAATAGCCACCCTCCACACTTCATTGGATGAGAGATGGTATTTTCTAATAAAGTTAGTGGCCTTAAATCTCTTTTAAAAATTACCTATGTCATTGGGGATACATATAAATAAAATAAAATAAAGAAGGTGTTCTTTGTTTACTAAGGCTGTTTCAATTATTGAATATGAATTTATTTATTTAGAGTAATTAAACATTTTTTTCCCTTATTTCTTCTGTTTTAAAATAATAGTCTTTGAAATATAAATTTTTTGATAGTACAATTATTATATTTTTAAAATATTAATCTTCTAAAATTATTTTTTGATAGTACATTTTTTTTAGAATATCAATTGTCATAATTGTACTTTTTATATTATCAATGAATTTAAAAGAAAGGTAAAATAATAAATTTATATTATTTTATTCCTTAAATTTTGAAAAATATTTTAGGATAATAAAAAATGGAATAAAGAACTAATATTTTGGAATGAAATGAGAAATTATATTCAAGGGGTGTGGCACTTTGATATAATTTTGGAGTACAGGTCCTGAGATCCTAGATTCTATTATCTTTGGGATTAGTCACTCGGGCGACATCATATATAGTTGGTAGGATGAATTTTTAGACATGGACGAACAATATTCAGTGTGGGTTCAAAACCCCACTTGTGTGCAAGTTCATGACTTACGACTACATAGTTGAGTGACCTTACTATATAGCAATTACCCAAGAATAACCCCTGAGACCTTGGCTCCTTATATGGTCTAACCCTAAAGATTATCCATATATGGTTAAGCCTTTTTTATTTAAGGGAACTATAGAGTCCTGAACTTTTTTAACAATCTTGAGGGGTTTGGAAGTTAGGCCAAGTCTAGCATATCTTAACAAAGATAAAAAGTCGAAAAATTACTTAAAAAGTTATCGTTATTCATCAAAAAAAATTATTAAAAAATTAATTTTACACACAAAATTACAACTCATCAATCTGATCGGTTCAAATCTGTGCTGCAT